CGTGTCCTGCATGGCGGGGAGCTCCGGGGGGGCGCCTGGGGGTTGTTCCCTCCCAGCCGGCTGCCAGCCAAGTTCGGCGTGGCCGGGCCGGGCTGCGGCCGGGAGGAGCGTGATGGGGGGTCGCTCCCGGGAATATCGTACCCCAGCCAGCAATGCTCCGGCTCGCTGGCTGCCGGAGCTCAGGCGCCGATGCACCGTGTGACGCGGGTCGCTTTGCCACTCTCTCCGGTTTTGGTTTGGTATTTTTTTTTGTTTTTTTGGTTTGTTTTTTTTTTTTTTGGGGGGGGGCTTTTTTCCCCTCCCCCCGTTTTTGTTTTTTTTTTTTTTTTTTTTTTTTTTTTTGGTTTTTTTTTTTGGTTTTTTTTTTTCGCTCGGCCTCTTTATCTTTCAATTGCAAAGCAATTAAAGGTTTGTATGAATCTGCGAGCATCCCTCCCCGCGGGGCCCTCTGATGCCCGCTGTATTGCCCTTTAGATGCCTCTTCCTTTTTTTGTTTTACAATTGTTGTATCAATATAATGCTTCCTTTCTTCCTCTGTCTCTATAGATACAGATATACAAGGCAAACCAAAGGTTTCGGCTGCTATTCAGTGCCTCCTCATTTGTCCCAGAGCCGTAACAGTGGTGCCCTTTCTCTTCTGGCTGCTTTTCCCTGCTTCTGGAGCAGCAGTTATGGGAGAAGCAGATGGCTACTGATTGGGTGAGCTTTGTGGCTTTAATACTGAATACTTTATGGAAAAGGACTTTATCATGCTTGGTTGGTCAGAGGAACAACGGGATGAGATTTATGACTAGAGAAAATAAATCTTTTTAAGTTTCAGGCTCCTTCACACACCCCACGTCAAGTTGCTGCAGCAGAGCTGGAGCTGAAATCCTCTGCATCTTTATTTTTTCCCTCCCCCCCGCCCCGTCTGTCTGTCCTTTCACTGCTCTCCCCACCCCCTCTGCGCCAGGCTTTAGGAAACCCTTGCTAACTTTGGGGACTGTCACTCGCTGGAGAGGCCAAGGCCTTCAGAGCCCCCCAGGCAGCACCAGGAGGGGAGAGGCCATCCCTGCACCAGGATGATCCACCTGAGGGAATATGAGCTGGGCAGTCAGCTCCTGCCAAAGCTCGGCCACGCGTAACCCAGCGGCCACCCAGGGTCCGGTGGGGAGCTGTGAGCGACGTCCTCACGGACCCGAGAGCAGAGAGCTCGTGTGGCCACCAAAGAGACACGCAGCCCACCGCTCCGAGCTCGGGTCTCCTGAGGAGATGGAGCCCAGCACTGCCCGACCCCACACCAGTCCCAGCGTGGGACACTGCTGGTGGCACACAGGGACAGAAAGGCCCGGGGGTGTACAGGAGGCAGAGGCAGTTTTCAGTCCTGCAGGGATTCCCCTTCTTCCATTTCTCTCCCTTTTCTGTCCTTCGTAGCCAATCATGTCTTCTGTCAGGCTGTTAAATGTTTGAAGGAAGGTGAAGCTAGGTGAAAGCTTTCCAGGTTTTACACCTTGATGCTGCTGTCAGGCCAAGTAAGGAGGAGAAGCAGAAAGCCTGAGAAAAATAATTCTGAAATAGAAAGTCAGCAGCGATAGGGGGCTATATATGAACCATTTAACCAGCCACCTGTATTATGGTCGGTGGTCTAGGTAATAAAAAAAATTCCCGTGACCCTTTGGTGAATATGCAAATTAATATTTCTAATCAGACTCTGTGTTTGCTTGGAAGAAAGTAGAGGGGGAGTTCGGGCACCATCAGGGATGAGGAAAGAGCCGAGGTGCCTGTGGTGTGTCTGAACCATAAGAAAGCCGGTAAGGAAGGTATGTCAGGTACCTGGGGAGCAGAAGCCTTTGCTCCTTGGGGTGAACCACAGCTAAAGCTGATAGCTAGCCCATTTTAGGGATTTGTGGTTTTGCGGCATGGCAGTGACCTGACCCGGGAGTCCAGCATCGGTGAGGTGGGGCTGAAGGGTCAGAGACAATAGGAAGGGACAGGCACCCCGGGTGTGTTTGGGAGCTGGGCTGGAAACAAGACAGAACACTGGTGGTGTGCCCAGGACCTGGCAAGGACCTGGAGGTAGGCAAACATTCATCTGGTTGTGGGTCTGAGGACTCCCAGCGGGCTCTGTAGTGTGATGGGATGTCTCTGGCACCCCAGCACAGGGCTTCCCCAGGAAAGGCGCCATCCACGAGCCTGGTGACAAGCAGAAAGGATGGTTTCAGTCATTCAGCTGGGGCCCTGATTTATTTCCACTACAGAGGCCTGTCTGTCTCCAGGGAAGGGAACCGTTCTGGCTGCATTTCTCCAGGCACCAGAAAAGCTTGTGGCTCCACATTTCGTTTTAAGAGGATTTTCCATTCCACCTGGTGCACGCCTCCCGGGGACCACAGCTGGCCCTGAGGCAGAGAGGGTAGCAAGGCAGTTTAGAGCATCCCTTCGTGCCCCCTACCCACGGTGCCCTGGCCCCACAGGAGCAAGTGTGGCTGGGCTCATGTGCTCCTGGGAACTCGTGTGTTCTCCCGGTGATTTTATTTTATGAGTGATTTTATTGCAGTCACCTGGGAGCTGACTCTCAGCTGGGTATGTTCCTCCTCACAGGAGTAACCGCACACCCGTGGGCCTGGTGCGTGGCACGACTCGGGCAGTGTTTCCCAAAGGATGCAGGAGTGTTTCCGAGCACAGGCTGAGCAGCCTTTCCTGGTCCCTCTCCTCTCCCCTTCCTGCATGAAGGTCAGGGAGGAAAGAGAAGACTGGCACTCCTGGGAGCAGGTGCTCTATCCCCCGCAGCCATCCCCACACGGACTCACCGCGGGCAGAAGAGGTTATCACTGTGGCTAGCGGTGCCCGAGCATCCAGGGATCCATCCCCACGCTGCCAGCCCTGCCGCCACCTGAATCCCCACCAGGTCCCCGCCCTGGGCCGCCCCCCGGGCTCCCTTCTGTGGGGATTTGGCAGCCCAGCCCCTTCTGAGCTCAGCTCCCGGGCTTCTCCACTGCTCCTGGGGCTTCCCCTTGCCCGGGAGCTGGTCGTGCCGCGCTGTGCCGTCGAGAGGGGCTCGGCAGAGCAGGGGCTGTGCTTTTGGAGGGCGGGGAGTGCCGGGGGTTTGCCGGCTGCGGGGGTCCCTGGGAAAACGGCCCGGACTCCTCAGCCCGGGTTGGCCCTAGCTCTCCGCAAGAGATTTTGTGGAAAAATAAGCGAATAGAAAATAGATGGATGTACCGAGATAGGAGCGTGCGGGCAGCGATCGCACGGCCCCGCTGGGTGACACCGCGCTCGCCGGCAGCGCGGCGGGGACCCGATCGGGCCCGGCGCACCTGCCCCGCGTCCTCCAAAAATCCCGGTGAGGCATTTCCAGGAGGCCGGGAGAGCGCCGCCAGGCTTTGCGGGGTTTGCGGTGGGCGCACCCCCAGCAGAAACTCCGAAAGAAAGAGCCCGCGTCCGTCCCAAAGCCGTTCTGCGGGTCGAAGGACGCTGTTCCCTGGGATCCCCTTTTAGAGAGGCATCAGAGGCTGGATAAAAGCTCGGAAATTCCTCCGCGGTGCTTTCCAGTCCCAGGGAATTTCGGTGGCTTGGGTCACGCCGAAGCGATTTCGAGATCGTATGTGTGCCGTGGTGTCCCTTAAAATTCTCGCGAATAAAATTAGCGCGTAGGTTTTCTTTCCCCCCACTAATGACAGTCATTCGGACAATTTATATCAAAAAAAAAAAAAAGGGAAAAAGAAACAGGAATAGGAAAAAAACCCCACCACATTTGAAGCAGGAATTGACATCCAAATTTTTACGGACTCCCATATTTTTAATGTTATGAGAATCTCCCTTTTAGGAGACGCTGCGTTTTGTCGAATTAATAAGATAAATGTAGAAAGCATATTATATGCAGCCTTTAATCCTAATGCAAGGAGAATCGTAATTATGTGGAGGATAAGTGAATTTGAAAGCCAAACATCAGCCCACTCTGCAAACCCTGTTCCGTTCGCCCCTGGAAAACGCTTTGTCTCTCCTTTTCATTTTTTTTTTTTTTTTTTTTTTTTTTTTTTTTTTTTTTAAAGGGTTTTAAATTTTTTTTTTTATTTTTGTAATTATGTGGAGGATAAGTGAATTTGAAAGCCAAACATCAGCCCACTCTGCAAACCCTTTTCCGTTCGCCCCTGGAAAACCCTTTGTCTCCCCTTTTCATTTTTTTTTTTTTTTTTTGTTTGTTTTGTTTTGTTTTGTTTAAAGGGTTTCAAATTCTATTTTTAATTTTTTAAAAAATCTGTTTTGTATCTGAAATGACGACGATCAGGGAGGGACCGGTAAACACTTTTCCAGGCGATAAACCCCTTCCCTCGGCACAGCGCATCCGCGCCTCTCTGTTCCCTGGAGCTGCGCGCCTGTCGGTGAATGCGGGAGCCTCGCGTGTCCAGGGGGAGAGCCCGTGGCCGCCCCCCGCCCCGGAACGGCCAGGAATGGGCGGGGGGCGCCGGCCGGGGCTGCCCCCCGCCCCGCTCCTGCGGGGACCCGGCTGCGGCGGGGAGCGCGGGGCTGCCCGGCGCCGCTCTCCGCACGCCGGGCCTCGCCGGAGGGCCGCTCCGCGGAGCCGGGCACGGGCATCCCCACTCGGCTCCGTCCCGCCGAGGAGGTTATTTTCCTGCGTGTCCGATTTCCCCTACCTGGCAGGTGAGGGGACAGGGCGGGAAGCCGCCGCCGGGATCCCGGCGCCGGGCGGAGCGGCCGTCGGGCACCCCCGCTCCCCGCCCCGCACCCCCGCCGGGCCGAAGCGGAGCCGCGGCCCCAAAGGCGCTCCCAGCCCCGGCAGAGGGTCGGTGGGGGAACGCGCCCCGCCATCCCCACCCCCTTCCCCGCCGGTGCCCGGTGGCGGCGGGTCCAGGTGAGGGGCGGGCGGGCGGCGAGCGGGCAGCCCCGAAGGGGTTAACGGGAGGGACGTGGGCTGTCACGCGTCATTGGGCAGATTATGTGCAGCAAACAAAAAGTGTGTGTCTGCGTGCCAGCCCCTCACTGCACCGGGTCCGTCTGCACCGCGCGCCTCCCGCTCCGCCGCCCGCACGGCCCGGCCCGGCATGGAGCGGCGCTGAGAGCCCGAGGCAGCCAGCCCGAAGCCGCCTTTGTGCCACTCTCGGGGCGAGGATTATCCCCACCGTCCCTGGTGAGTACCGGCGGAGGGGCCCCGCCGCCCCCCGCCGCCCCGGAGCGGGAACAATGCCGGGGATGGCCGTGCTGCCGGCGGGCCCGCCCGGGCTGCGGGGACCGGCGGGGGAGCCCCCGGGAGCGGCCCCGGCGCCGCCCGGCCCGGACAAAGGACGGCCCGGGGGAGGCAGCGCCGCGGGGCCGGGGGCGGCCCGAGGAGCCGGGGGGATGCGGCGCCGTGGGGAGCCGTGCGGGGCTCGCCGCCGCCGGGAGGAAAGTTCGGCGGGGGCCGCTCGCTGCCGGTGGTTTCGTTTGGAGAAATCGTTCCTTCGGGGAAGGGATGCGTCGGGCAGCGGCGGAACGGGGAGGGTGCCGGGGAGGCGGCCGGAGCGCCTTTCCCCCGGCCTCCGTTCCCGGGGAGGGGCCGGGACCCCCGCCGCCGCTCCGGGGGGTGGGGGGTGAAGTTCCCGGCGGTGCGGGTCGCACCCCGAAATCGGCGGGGGGAGCGGCGGCTCGGCGGAGCCGTGCCCGGTGCGAGAGGCGGCAGCCGTCAGCAGGCGCACCGGGAGGAGCACCGGTCTTTTGCCGAGCCGGCCCCGAATGACGGATTTCGATGGCAGATGGGGCGGGGGGAGGCAGCCGTGCGCTAATCTGGTCGGGAAGGGCGAGGGCACCGCAGCCGGGCGCGATGCTCCCTCCCCGGCCGCGGCGCCGCCGGCCCCGCACCCTGCCCGCTGCCCGCGCCCCGCCAGCTGCCCGCCGCCCGCATCCTCCCCTCGTAACGCGCGGCAGCCGGGGCTCACCCTGCTCCATAAATAAGCGTGTCGAGGTAAAAATAATTACCTCTGCTTGCTGCTTTTAATTAAAGTCTCGGAGGGAAAGTGCTGGATTATGATAATGAGCAGCCATACGTTCCCCTTGTCGCGCGGAGCGGGAGGTGAGCTGACACGCAGTCGGCGACAATGACAAGCCGCTGGAACCCACCCGCTCCCCCGGCATAGCCCGCAGCCCGGCCCGGCTCCGGGGATTGCACCAGGGAGACCCGGAGCCTGCTCGGGACAGGACGCGGCCGGCGGGATTCCCGGGTCCCCGCTCAGAACCAGCTCCGCCGCGATATCTAAAAAAATAAATCAGCGCGGCAGAGTCCCCGCTCCTCGCCTCTGCTCGCAGCTCCTCGCCTGCTTTAAATTTTTGTCAAACCGGAGAAACTGCTCCGGCGGCGGCGGCGGTGGCGGCGGCGGCGGCGGGGCCGCTGCAGCTGCAGCTGCCGTCGGCGCTGACGCTGCTGCCGCCGTCGTTCACCTCGCTGTGCCTGCCGGCTCAGAACTGGTGCGCCAAGTGCAACGCGTCCTTCCGCATGACCTCGGACCTGGTCTACCACATGCGCTCCCACCACAAGAAGGAGTACGCGCTGGAGCCCCTCGTCAAGCGCCGCCGCGAGGAGAAGCTCAAGTGCCCCATCTGCAACGAGTCCTTCCGCGAGCGCCACCACCTCTCCCGCCACATGACCTCCCACAACTAGCGGGGACACCCGCCGGCGCCGGGAACCCGCCCGGGACCCCCGCCTCTCCCACCCTTCCCCTTCGATGCACGCGTTTCCACAGTCCGGGGAGGGGCGGGAGGGCAGCGGGTGAGGAGGAGGAGGAGTTGATTTTTTTTTTTTTTTTTTTTTTTTTTTTCTTTTCTTTTTTTTTTTTTTTTTTTTTTTTTTTTTTAATTTTTTGGAGTTTTTTTTCGTAATGTTTTATTTAATAATTCAAGTCGATTTTATTTTGTTTCCCGGGGCATCCCGGTGGACCGCTCAGCGGGACCCGCTGCGGTAACAGCCCCTCTGCCCCTCTCTCCGCCCGCAGGGATGGAGGACGCCGGCGTCCAGCGGGGAATATGGGACGGGGATGCCAAGACGGTCCAGCAGTGCTTGACTGACATTTTTACCAGCGTTTACACCACCTGCGACATCCCGGAAAATGCCATTTTCGGCCCCTGCGTCCTGAGCCACACGTCCCTGTATGACAGCATCGCCTTTATCGCCCTCAAGTCCACCGACAAGCGCACCGTCCCCTACATATTCCGGGTAAGAGCCGCTCGTCCCCGGGCCCAGCCGCTCGCCACAGTCCGGCCCGGGGAGGCTGTCCCCGGGGGCAGAGCCGCTGTTGCCTGGCCCCGTGCTGTCGGTCGGTCGGTCGGTCGGTCTGTCTGTCTGTCTCTCGGTGCGGTGACCTGATGAACGCGGGGTTTCAGGTGGACACGTCGGCGGCCAATGGCTCGTCGGAGGGGCTGATGTGGCTGCGGCTGGTGCAGTCGGCGCGGAAAAGCGAGAGAGAGAGAGAGAGAGAGAGAAAAGAGAAGCACCGGGAAAAAGAAAACAAATCAAATGACTTAAAAAATACATTTTTTAAAATGTCATATATTGCAACATATTGATGCATTTGTCATACGTTTCTACTTAAATTATTAAGCACTTATGGTTTAGATGTAATAATAATTCTATGTCAGGGTAAATTTTTATTTTGGATATGAAGCTAAGGGCGAGGGGAGCGCGGCGGGGCCGGCGGGCGGCGGGCCGGGGTCCTGCATGCACCGGGCGCTACCCCCGTCCGGCCCCGCCGCCCGCGCCCCTTCCCCCGAGTGTCACTGGTGCCCGTGGAATGGAGTCTCGGTAGTTCCGTGTTACCTTCCCTTTCCCCTTTGGTGTCTGTCTGTCTCTCGGTGCGGTGACCTGATGAACGCGGGGTTTCAGGTGGACACGTCGGCGGCCAATGGCTCGTCGGAGGGGCTGATGTGGCTGCGGCTGGTGCAGTCGGCGCGGGAGCGGGAGGAGCAGAACCTGGAGGCCTACATCAAGAGCGGGCAGCTCTTTTACCGCTCCCTACGCCGCATCGCCAAGGACGAGGAGCTGCTGGTGTGGTACGGGAAGGAGCTCACCGAGCTGCTGCTGCTCGGCCCGGCCCGGGCCCCCGCCCGCACCAACGGTGGGTGCCCCGGGCGGGAGGAAGGAGGGGGATCCCTGCCGCCGGGGGGAATGGGGAGGCGGCGGTCGGCTTCGGATCCCCCGCTCCCGATGCCCAAACTCTCGGCGGACATGCCGTCGGTGGCCCCGGCTGACGGTGCTCTCTCTGTCTCTCTGTGTCTGTCTGTCGTGCCCGCCCGACGCAGGCTCGCCGCCCTTCGCCTGCCCCGAGTGCAGCCAGCGCTTCCAGTTCGAACTGCCCTTCGCCGCACACCTCCGGTTCCGCTGCCCCAAGAGGCTGCACGGCCCCGACATCGGTCCCGCCGCCGAGGCCGCCGCCGCCAAGGACGGCTCCGGCAAGGAGCAGGAGCCCGGCAAGTTCGGCAAGCCCGGCGGGCCGCCGCACCACCCCTTCCCCGGGCCCGACGGCGGCCCCGCCGCCAGCACCAAGCCCTCCACGGACTTCCACAACCTGGCGCGGGAGCTGGAGAACTCCCGCGGCGGGCGCGCCGGCTCCCCGGGGCGGCCGGCGCCCCCCGAGGGCGGCCTCGAGGCGGCGGCCGGGAAGGCGAAGCGGCGCTTCCCCGAGGAGGAGGAGCGCGGGCCCGGCGCGGCGCGGGGCCGCTTCCCGGCGGAGCGGCCGGGGCTGCCGGCGGCGCCCAAGGAGGAGCCGGGCTGCGCCCCGCAGCAGCAGTACCGCGCCGCCGGCTCCTACTGCGGGCTGGAGGAGGGCGGGCGCCTCTTCGCGCCGCCCAGCCCGGAGACCGGCGAGGCCAAGCGCAGCGCCTTCGTGGAGGTGAAGAAGGCGGCCCGCGGCCCCGAGCCCGACGGCGGCCCCGAGGAGGGCCCGGAGCGCGGCTCCCCGGGCGCGGGCGGCGCGGAGCCGGGGCTGTGTCCCCGCGGCGGCGAAAAAAAAAAAAAAAAAAAAAAAAGATTTATTAAACTTTATAGTTTATCCGGGTATGTTGGATGCTTTGACAATAAATGACTTTATTTTCTTCAAAGCACCTGGACGTTAATCGATGCGGAGGAGTGGGCGGTGACCGAGGGGGGCCTGTTCTCGGCTGCGCGGTGGCGGCGGTGTCCCCGGGCCGCGGGGAAGGCAGAAAAGCCCGGCCACGGCGCCTGTTCTCGGCGCTCTCCTTCCCTGCTCGCCTGCCTTCCTTCGGCCCCTCCGACATCCGTCTGTCTGTGCATCTTTGCTTTTGTCCGGCGTTTTATTCAGCCTTTATTTCTCTCCTCCATCCTGTCTTTCCCTTCCTTTCCTCTCCCCTTCGTCTTTTGGGTTGTCCCCCCGGCCCCGGCCCCGAGCGGCCGCTGCGGGCGGCGGCGGCGGCGGCGGGGGGCTGCCCAAGCAGAGCCCCTTCCTCTACACCACGGCCTTCTGGCCCAAGAGCTGTTTTCTTTTTGCCCGTCTGTGGGTGGTCGCGGGCTTGCAGGGTGGCACAGCCACGGAGGCTGCCCGGAGGTTCTCTGGGGCGACAGGACCCAGCCCGCGGTGCCTCGGGAGCGCTTCAAGGGGCTAGGGCTGGGTCCCCTGTGTCCTGGTGCATTGCCGGGGTGGTGGCATCGCAGCCAGGGACTCCCGGCAGGACCAAGACAAGGGGTGCACAGCCTGGCAGCGGGTGCGTTCAGTGCCAGCCCCGCTTTGGGGGGCACGGGAGGCCACCGGGGGATGCACAGCGCGGGGATGTGCGGGAAACCCATTTCAACACGCTGCCTTCACCCTGGCACCGAGGCTGTGCCGGGTCACTGGCCGGGAAAATATCCCAAAGCCGGAGCTGTGCAGCAGGAGCCCACGGCAGAGCGTGACAGCCCCACGTAAATGGGGTCCAGGTGCCAGCGGCGCCGGCTGCCGTGGGGTTTGGGGTCTGCACGGGTACACGGACCTGCTGCAAAGCCTTTACAGTCCTGGGAAGCGCCTGGGGCCTCACGTAGGGCAGCCTAGCGAAGTCCCGGCCGCGGGCAGCCCAGCCTCCCGCTGATGTTGCCCGCTCTCCCGGTGCGCTGACCCCGGCGCCGTGCCCATACCCGCAAGCCACGCCAGGATCCGAAGCGGCGCCCCGCTCTCATTCCCTGCCTCTGGAATACGCACAGCCTCACCTGCTGCCGTTAACTGCGGGGGCGAGACACCGATTACCCCGTGGATCTTCCTTAGAAGCGGTGCCACCCCGCGCGTCCCGTTTCTGGGGGTTCCCCGGGATGCCGCGGCGGGCTCGGGGATGCCGGGGGCGGCAGAGGCGGGTGGGCACCGCCACCTAGCGGGGCCGCCGCGGGGCCAGAGCGGCTCTGCTCGGGGCCCCGGCGGGCTCCTTCCCCGGCAGTGATGCTTCGCTTCCCCGGCAGCCCCGGGCCGGCTTCGGGGCCGGCTCCCGCCCGCAGCCGGGGAGATTCGCAGCGGCCGCGTTGGTTGTGCTGTCCCTGGCTCCCTGCGCTTGTCCGGGTGCTGCTGGAGGGATGGTGCTTCCCCCGCACGAAGGTGCACTCGGGAGCCCAGCACATAGCTGCAGGTTTCACAGTCTCGTCCATCTGCCCCAAATATCGTATGGCTTTTCCCAGCCGTGTGCTGTGCCCCTGCCCTGGCAGCCCCTGCAGCGCCGTGCGTTCTGTGCGTTCCTTGTGGCTCTGTCAGAAGGCACTGTGCTGAGCCCCAGGATTTCTCCCTTTGGGGTAGGATCAACCCCCCTAAAAACAGTTAGACAATGCACCTGTGGTGCAGCGGGTGCCTGCATTGCTACTGCCACACAAACCTTGCACTGTTTCTGTCTAAAAGCACAAAAATCTACAGACTAGCAAATTTAATCCAGGACTTTGTTCTGCTGAAATAGGATATCGAACTCCAAAGTGATAAATCGAACTCCAAAGTGATAAATGAAACTCCAGTTTATGCTTCCTGCACAAGCAGAACGTGCTGTAGTAAGGGCAGGCGGTGCCCACGATCCTGTGGAGTTGGGCGTTTTGTGGAGAGGGTTCACAGAATTCCCCTTGGGCCATTTGGGATCAGGGCTTGGCCACAGCACGTCCCTCATTCCCCAGAGCCACGCTGGCTCTCCTCAGGTCAGCACAGGTACCATTGCCACATATTGCCACATACTACTCCTTTGTCAACATTTCTGCTGCTTGGGAAAAAGGAAGATAATCTCCCCTTTTATATTTTTTTTTCTTTTTTTTTTTTTTCCTTTAAATGTCTTTCCCTGTCCGTGGTGGATGCTGTGCTGTGTCTCTGCACAGCACAGAAGCTGGCTGGGCTGTGGCACCAGCTGGCTTTCCCCCGTGCAGGGTCCTCACCCGACATCACAGCCCAGAAAATTCCCTTCTGGGGCATCGCCTGGGCATTTCTCTGGGACAGAGCTGCCCCTGTAAGCCTCTGCCAGAGCCCACAGATGCATCTGCCTCTGAAACCCACCCACAAGGGGCATCTCTGCTGTGCTGCAGAGGAGCAGCAAGTAGGAGCTGGGAATGAGGACAAGCAGCCTTCAGATTTGGGGAGCCCCTTTGCTGTGCCCTGCAGCACTCAGACTGCTCCATCTCCCCTGTAGCTGGGCCACACTGCAAATCATACAATGATAATAATTCCAACAAATCCTGATTTTAATGCTGTTCCCGGGGAGCAGTAGGCAGCTTTGCACGCACAGAGGTTTCTGTTCGAAGGCGCAGCAGTCGGGCAGCCAGGGGCAGCAGACCCCCAGCCTTGCACCTTTGGGCTGGACCTGGGCGTAGCTGCCTGCCTCGGGGCCTGATCCCCTCCTGCTAAAGCCAGCAGGAGCTGTGCCTGTGTAGGTTTGGGAAGGGATTAGCACCGGGCAGCTGGACACAGGCACCTGAACTGTGGGCACGGGCTGTGCGGAAAGACACGTGGGTTCTTTCCCTTAGGCCTGGACAGAGCTGTGCAAGCGAGGCTTTCACAACCTCTGAGCATCCTCCCAGCCAGCCTGTGGAGGCTGTCCCAAAATCTGTGTGCTGGGTTTTGTGCTGATGTGAGGGTGCCGAGCAGCGTGCCGGACAGACGGACATCTGCTGCCACTGCTGCCAGGAGGCCGAGCTCCTCTTTGTGCAGTGCTTATCTCCAGTTCACCTCTAACTGTTACATTTGGAAAAGCAGCTACTAGGATTTCACTGCAATAGCCAGCTCTTGAAAACGTGTTGTTCAGCTGTGGATGTCTAGGAAAGGCTGAAGTAGTCCCCGTGTTTTGAAAGTCACATGAGCTGTACGGTATTTCTTCCCTGCTTTCCCTGCTGCTGAGGTCTGATTTGGCGTGGGGAAAGACCTGGCCCAGTACAGAACGTGTTGGTGGTGTGCTTAGAGCAAGTACAAACAAAAAGCAAAGGGCAGGGGGGATGTTTCTGTGAGATACACTGCTGTCCTGCAGGACGCTGGAATGCCTGGCGTGCTCTGAGCTTTATTTAAGGAGATAGTGCTTTTCACCTGTTAGAATTTTTCTTTCCTTATCCCGGCTTGTGGGGTGGCTTCTGAGTGATCTCGGTGACATCCGTGCCCATGGGGCACGTTAACCACTTGCACCTGTGCTTCCCCAGCACCTGAAGGTCATAATTAACTAAGAGGAGGGCAATCATCTTAATTAAATTCACCTGTGGTAACAGGTGTGGACAATCATCCTGATTAAATTAACCTGTTTTAAGGCACGTCCTCCTGCTCGACTGTTTGGTTCGGCAAAGCTCCTCAAGCAGCTGCAGCTCTCTGTGTTTCTGGAGTGGGGACACTTCCAGAGGGACGTGCAGGGTGGCCTGGGGACCAGCCATCTCCGTTTGACCGTGGTGAGTCTCCTTGGGGCACATCCTCCTTGCAAAGGTTTTGTTTCCAGGCTCTGCTGGCTGGGCTCATGTCTCCCCACGCTCTGCCTGGTGTATTTGTAAGTGGCAATTAGGAAGTACCAGGCTGACATCGGGAGGGGGGAGCGCTCCCGCGGTGCAGCTTGCAGGCCCGGTGCTCTGCAGCAGATCAAAGTGGCTCACAAGAGTCCTTCTCATCTTCAAATGGGGAATTTCACACTTGAAACACAGCTTATCCTCTCCATTTACTGAGTTTTCTCTGTAACCGAGCCCTGAATAATTTAAATAACATAACATCAGCATTAGGCTTCCAAAGCTGCTGCTGTGTGTGCGAGGGCTGCTACTGCCAAAGGCAATCACACACAATTGCTCCAGGAACTTCGCTGTTACGTCTGCTTGCTTATTTAGGTTTAAACCTCGTGTTTGCTCTGTTTTTATCTTGGTGTTCTTTGGGGCTTTTTTTGAGCCGTGCTGCAGGGGTATTTGAAATGGATGTGTTAGGCAGGGGGACAAAGAGGGGGCACCCAGAGCCACACGGGCCATGCCCACAGCACTGCTTGTGGGCTCTGGGAGGGTCACAGCGAGGGTGAAAACACGCTGCACAGCACGGGGCCCTGTGTCAGGCACCTCTCCACAGGGAGGGGGGTTGGCTGATGTTCTGACGGGGCGAGGGAGTCCCCAGAGAAAGGGGAATGCTGTCCTGCAGTTGTCCCATTCCACAACATGGAAAAGAGGAGCGCAGGCCATGAGTGAACCCCAAGGGCTCTGCTGCCTCACTGTGACCCCAGAAAGGGTCAGGAGCGCTCACTGCAGTGGGGTTCCTTCCAAAAACAGGTCTTGGGGAGCAGCCTGGGCAAGCCCACCTGGCTGGGGTTGCCTTCTTGGTGGCCCCCCCCGCCTTGGAAGTTTGAGTTGTCAGGGAATTCTTCACTGGCAGGAGGGAATAACAGCAGTCTGAGTGAGCAGAGGATGCCTGGCAGCCAGGGTGGCACCAGAAGTGTTGCTGGAAACTGTGAGGGTGGACAGGAGGGTCAAAGCTGAGGGGGATGGGCTTGCTGGTGACCCTCTGGGCACAGAAGATTTTCTCACAGTGGGTATCTCTGACCCAGGCATGCTGATGCCTCCTTTCTGCTCCTGGGCTGTTGCTGTGCCTGGTCACCCCCAGGATGGTAACTATGAATGTTTTTGCTTTCACCTTTAACCCTCAGGGGCAGAAGTGTTTTCTGCTGCCCCAGAGGAAGAACAGGGATTTTGCTGCCGTGATCCTGTACCAGCTGCAGCCTTTACACCGAGATGCCCAAGAGGAAATCCTCCTGGAGCAAGGTGGCCGTGCCTCCCTCAGCTGTGCTGACACAGGAAGCCTGGCACAAACAGCACTCCAGAGGTGAGGAAGTCCTGCAGGTCCTCATCCTCCTCGTGGATCCGGATTGGGAATCAGCATGTGTGTGTAATTCAAGAGGAGGGGAGTAAGTGGAAGTCATGGCTTTTGCCAGGCAAACCACTACAGCTGAGAGAAGTAAACAAGGATTCGGTGCCCTGACCTTCCTGCAGGTATGTGCATCTATATATAGGGCTGTCTATGTATACATGTCTATATATAACGCGTGTGCATATAGCTCCGTGGATACAGATCTGTGCTGAGAAATGGTCTGAAATGGCAGCAATGCTGTGAGATCATCTGCTCGCACCAGCCTGTGCCAGGTGTCACCCAGGCTGCCTACGGCTCCTCAAGTGCGTGTCCCTCTCGGTGCCCCCGACCTTCAGCTTCCTCGGGAGGCGAAGGTCACCCTCCGGCGTGCCACCGGCTCTGCCTCCTTCCTGCCGAACCCGATCCCTGGCCGCGTGGCCTGGATGAGCCCGCCAGCCGGGATCACCCCTGGAAAGGCCGGGGGGCAGTTCCTAGGTGGGTTTTAGGGGGCAGCCCCGGCTGCCAGGAGTGCTGCGGGCACCGAGGGGCGGAGTGGGGGCTGCGGGCAGGGCAGGGCACCTTTGGCCCGCCCTGGCTTTGCTAGAGGTGAGGTTTCCCCAGGGGCTTTGAGGACCTGGAGCTGCCCCAGGAGCTGAGGAAGGCATAATCCATGCGGAGTTGTGCCAGAGGGATGGATGGGCTGTTGCTGCGGGGTCTCCTGTGTGGCTGTGCTGTGCAGTCGTTGTCTTAGTGCATGGGGAGGAGCACGGCCGCTGGTGCTGGGGGCACCTGGGACGTGTGTGGTCACCCTGACGGTGGCGGGAGGCTGGGGGCCGTGTACCCCTTGCCCGGGAACCGAGGGGGATGTTGTGGACCGACGAGGGCCACCCCCGCTTCCCGCAGGCCGTGATGCCGTTGGGGGGTGGTGATGGGACCCCCGTTATCCCCAGGGGCCGAGCGGGCCCCGTGGGTGAGGGAGAGCGGATCTGCGGCTCGGGGGCTGCCCCGAGCCCCCTGCCCGAGGCTGGGCTGGGCGCGCAGCTGCCGTGTCACCCCCCGAACCCCAGGCGGGGGGCTGCAACCCGAGCCTGTCCCCAGGGTCCCGCAGCCCCGTGGCCTCGTCCCGGCGAGGAGGACAAGTTAATTCCCAGATAGATGCGCCCCGAGCCCCGCATCTGCCGCGGGGATGGGGGGGGTGGTGGGGGGCGTGGGGCCGGGCACAGGTGCGGGGCCGCCGCCCGGTTATAAATAGCGGGGAGGGGCGGCCCGGCTCCCCCCGTGCTCGGTCCCCCCCTCCAGGGCTCGGAGCGGAGCGGGATGCGGCGCCCTCCCTCCCTCCTCCCGCCCGCCGGCAGCATGAGCCCGTCCTTCCTCCTCCTCCTCCTCCTCCTCGCCCTGCCCGCCCGCGCCCGGCGAGAGCAGGTGCCCGGCGGGGCGCAGCGGGGCCGCAACGCCCCCGCGTCTTCCTCCTCCTCCTCTTCCTCCTCCCCGGCGGCGGCGGCGGGGCCGAGCCGCTTCCCGCGGAGCCGCCCGGATCGGCGGCGGGGCCGGCTGTACTGCCGGGTGGGCATCGGCTTCCACCTCCAGCTGCACCCCGACGGCCGCGTGGACGGCGCCCACGACGCGAGTCCGCTCAGTGAGTGGGGAGCGGGAGGTCTGGGGGGGCTGCCGGCGCCGAGCATCCCTGTCCTTGCTGTCTTCCCACGGCCGCGGGGCTGACAGAGCCCCTGGCTGCTGTCGCCCTCGCCCGCGGCGGGCTGCAGCCCTGGCGGGCCGGGAAGGGGTGCCGGGGGGCTGTGCCCTGCGGGCTCCGGGAGAGCTGCCGGCCTGCCGCCGGGAAGTGCCGCCCGGCCCGGGGAAGTGAGCCCCTGGGGATGTGCGAGAGCCTGAGGTGTGTGCCCTGCCACCGCAGCCCCTCGCCGGGCACCTGGGGCAGGAGATGCTGCCCCTTTCTGGTCCTTTCCCCGTGGGACTTTTCCATCCCTCTCGCTGCATTCTCATTCTCCCAGCACAGCGGTAGGATATACTGGGTTTAAAAATAGGACTGAGGCTGACGTTCCCCTGAGAGAAAGCTGTGCTAACTCATGGCTTATCCTCCGGTCGGAGATGCCATGATACCCTGCTGGAGGGAATGAAATGGCAGGTGGGGATGAAAAATCCCCTCAGGAGCCCGAGGGCTCGGGCCCGAGGTGCCTCTGGCGGCTCAGCTGTCGGGAGCGCTCACGCCGCCACATCTGCCCAGGACCGAGGGATTTGGGGCCCAGGCCGTGCCGTGGCCCCAGGCAGGAGAGCAGCCCCTGGGCAGGAATGCCAGGAGCCCTGGAGCTCGATGGGCACAGCAGGCACGTGGCCTGGAGGGGTTCAGAGGATGCACAGGAAAAGGGGCCCCCACCCCACGGCTGCTTTGGGAGAGAGGGGGCTTGGCAGGGCCGGCAGAAGTTTGGTGCTACAGCTGTCCTGCAGAGACCTGAATTATGTGCAGCTCCTTCCTCCCTAACCCGAGCTATCCCCCCCGGAAAGGCCACAGCGCCACCAGCTCCGCACGTGGGAGCAGAGCCAGCCCTGGCTGGGCACAGCGGGGCTGTGCCGGGCTGTGGCACTCAGGAGGCCCTAAGGAGAAAGAAGTTGGCTTTTGGCAGGGAAACCCTCTGGGGTTTTGGCCTCTGGGAAATAGGGCTTGACCCCGGGCAACCCCAAGGAACAGGAGGAGTGTGTCTGCCACGGCAGCAGGGCCACCCCGCAAAGGGCAGGAGGCTTTGGGGTGCCCCTGGGGACAGAGAGGTGTTTGACAAGGGACCTGCCGAGGGGCTGCAGAGCCTCCTGGCCTGTGGCACGAGGGGTGTGGCAGCCCCTAACCTCCCCAAGGTGCCCCCAGGCCCTTGGTGCTGGGCCGTGGGTGCCTCAGGGAGATGCGCTCCCTCCTTAAAATAAACGGTGGGAAGTGGTGATCCGATACCCAGCCTTGGGGGACTTAACGTGGCTCGGTGGTGGCTCCCGGCACGTTAATCCCACGGCCCTCTGGGGGCCGGCCGGGATGCTCTGCCGGCTCCTCCCGCTGGGACTGGGGCCACAGGGCCCCTGGGGCTGCGGCTGGGCAGCAGTGCCGGCTCCCCGGGCTGCAAGGGGGTGCTCTGGGGATGTGGTGCTGCTCCCCAGCTGGCAGGGCTTGGGGGATGCCCGGCCCTCTGCCCGGGGAGGAGACGCGTGGGTGCTGCTGCTGAGGGATGCTCGGAGGCTGCAGCTCTTCTGCCAGATGAGTTGCAGGTCCTGCGTGCCCCATCAGGGGCCAGAACCCCTATCAGGCTCAGGAAAGTCGCGTTATTTCCATCGTGCTGGGCTGCACAGTGCCCCAGGCTGGGCTGTGAGGGAGCGTCAGGGGTGCTCCAGTCCCAGCTGGCTTGTGGGACGCTTGGGGGGCAGCTCCCATCCCAGCAGGCTGGTGTGGGTCATTTCCCCAGGGGTTAACTTGCTCCACCACAGCCCAGCCAGGAATTGTGCCCCAAAATGGGACTTTAAAAAAAAAAACCCGCACAAGTCCCAGCCACCAGCCCGTATCCATCCCAGAGTGGATGGAGGCCGCTCTGCGAGGCAGAGGGATGGAGCAGGAGCTGGGTGGAGCCAGGCAGCTGAGGAGCAGGGACGTGGGAGAGGAAATGCAAACCTGTCAGACTAAGCTGTATTTATTTTTTTCTCTGTCACGCCGATGTGAAAAGAACTGTGATTTATTCTGGGATTTCTGTCATCCTAGGTATTTTGGAAATATTTGCTGTGTCTCAGGGGATTGTAGGAATACGAGGAGTTTTCAGCAACAAATTTTTAGCGATGTCAAAAAAAGGAAAACTCCATGCAAGTGTAAGTAAACCCCCCACCCTTACCAGTGCGTGTGCTGTATGACAGGCTTGGTGGCACCTCCGCAGGGCCTGGCAGGCACGGAGGGGACAGGCGGAGCCGCAGCACCCCGAGCCCACCTTCCTGCCCGGAGCCTTGGAGCGCCTGCAGCGGCGGCAGAGCCTGCTCTCCGAGCACGGCAGGGTTATTTTTAGCCGCCGCTGCTGCCGCAGATCGCGCAGAAGGCTTTGGCCAAATGTCTCCCGGCGCCGGCAGCCCCGCGGCCGGGCTGGCTCTGCCCCCGGGACAGGGAGCCCCGGCAGGTGAGGTCCGGGCTGCGCAGGTGGCGAGATCCCGGGAGCTTTTCTCTGCGGGGCGCTGTCCTGGAGGCTGAGGTTGTTGTGCTTTTCCCAGCTCTCTGTGTCGAATGAATCCGTGAGCTGGTTTCGCTGCTTGTTTCAGCCCCAGCATGCTGCTTCCCTGTTTCTGTCAGCTCCAGAGGCCGTTTGAGCCAGCGCAGTGATCACACCTCTGAAAGGTGTGTGGGATGTGCCACCCCACCAAGGGCATTTGTAAGGCAGCAGCTTGTCCCTGAGGGTGCTTCCCGGAGGGCCCGGCCAGGGATGAGAGCTGGGCAAAGGGAAAAGGCGGGTACCCACCCCGCAGCTCCCAGACAAACCTCCCGGTGCCAGGGCAGATGTCACGGATGTGCTTGCAGATCTCTTCCAGGGGGATTTATGAACTCACCTCTCTCTCCTTTAAGTCTTTTTGGTGTCTTGCTCCTGCAGCCTAGTGATTAAGGATGAGCCAGTGCTTGCTTCTTTTAAGGAATCAAGTAGGAGGGTGAATGGGATCTAGGGGAAAAGGGGAATGGTTCCGTGGAGGAAAAAACATGAGGTGAGAGCGGAGGGGCAGAGCAGGAGCAGAGGGCAAGGATGGAGAGGAGAGGGAAGCAGGCAGAGCGCGATGGCCGGACCCTCCAGAGCCTTCCCCTCTGGCGTACAATGGGCCTCTTATCTGAGCTGAAGCCTTGATTTATGCCCTGGCACAGGCAGAAATTAAATCAAGCCTCGTTGGTGCACGGTTAATTGTTGAGACACAAAGGGCAGGGCCAGAGAGGAACCTCAGTCAGGAGGGTCAGGGCAGGGGTGAGGACACACGGTGCCCCGCTCGGGTGAAAGCTGCAAATTTGTAGAAACTTGACCCAAATGTCTAAAGATTGCTGGGCTAAACAATGCCAATAATGCAAACCCGGCATCTGTTGTTCTTTGCTGCGCTGGCAGGATGGAGGTTATTTCATGGCCTAATGAGCTCCGAGCAGTACAAAGCACGTCCTGTGCCCGTCACTCAGGGCAGCGCTTTGATACGGGAGTCAGGCCGGGGCTGCGGCTGAACCAGACAAAAGTCATTCCTGCAGGAATCTGGGCTCCTTCAAAACTCACTCTCGGGCCCTGCTCCATCCCAGCTCGGGCTTTTACAGATGCCCTCCTCCTCCTCTTTCTTTTCTTTTCTTTTTTTTTTTATGCCAGCTTAATTAAATTACCGAGTGGTTCATTTTTAGAGGCACCAGCTTCAGAAGATGACAGATATCCCGGCAATTATCAGTTGCGTGCACAGATGGCTTTTTCCTCGTTGGTAAATCCTCGCTCTCCTGTTTGTCCATTTTTAGCACGGAGCGGGTGGGAGGGGTGTTGTGCCTGTCCAGCACGGACTGCGGGGGGACAGATTTGCCCAGGTAATTCTCCTTTCCCAGGAGCTGCCACAAAGCAGCATTCCTCGCTGGGGCAAACCTCTGCTCAACTGGGTTTTGAAATTTAATTGACTCCAGGACTGCTCTGAAGCTCTGCAGAGCAAGTCTGATGCCAGCCACATGCTGTGGCTGCCCCTCCCCGTCCTATTCCCTATAGGAAATTTTTTTCCCATTTTTTCCCAGGGAAATAATGGGTTTTTCCAGGCTGGAGCGCTGATGCCGGCCACATGCTGTGGCTGCCCCCCCCCCGTCCTATTCCCTATATGAAATTTTTTCCCATTTTTTCCCAGGGAAAGAATGGGTTTTTCCCATTTCCAGGCTGGAGCAGTGCAGTGATGAGCTGAGAGGCTGGGACGTGGGCAAGTCTGACAGGATGATGGTGAGGCAGCTGTTGATGCACTTCCCAGGGCAGGGCAGGCGCTTCCCAGGCTCGTGGGACATCCTGCCTGAGCACTGGGGCTTCAGGGAGCACAGAGGGCCAGCCAAGCCTTGCTGGGGAAGGTGAAGGCCTGTGCACGGGGCAGACACAGGGAGGGCGTATGGAAGGTTGGGAGAGCAGAAATGAGCCACAGAGGTGATGTCCCTCGGGATCAGCAAGCTAAAGAATGCCTAGTTCCAAGTGCTGTGAGGCAGAATGTGTGTGGCAGGTTGTGGGCTCTGTCACTTGTGCTGTAAAGCTCAACCTCTTGGGTTAAATCTGGGCTTTTGAACACTTTCCTTGTGGTCACAAAGCCCTGCTGGGGGTTGGCTGTGTTCTGGGTGGCTGGTTTTGGAGCTGGAGAGCTCAGCATCTTCTCACGTCTGTGGTGTGGAGGTGTTGCTGTGAAATGGAGCTAGGGGAGCTTTTGGGGCACCAGGTTCCGTGCCTGCCATCAGGTTAAAGTGTGGCGGGATCTTGGGGAGGGGCTGCCAGCAGATACAGACGGGGATCCCGGGGCTGTGGGCACGCAGGTGCCGTGCTGGGCTCTGCTCTTTGGCTTTGGAATGCTTTTTTTCCCAGCGAAGCCCAAACCTGGCTGGCAGGCAGCTCCTGAACTGTCTGCACCGGGGGTTTTCCAAGCACTCAGGTGCCTGGCACCCTCGGTGTTGGTGCCCCGTGTTTCCAGCCGCTCCTTAGGGCCGGCTTTGGGGCACAGCTGCCCCCCGGCCCTCTCCAGCGGTGTCCCCTGTGTGTCCCCCCTCCCGCAGGCTCGCTTCACGGTGGACTGCCACTTCCGAGAGCGCTTCCAGGAGAACAGCTACAACACCTACGCCTCGGCCGTGCACCGCAGCCCGCGCTCGGGCCGCCCGTGGTACGTGGCGCTCAACAAGCGCGGCAAGGCCAAGCGCGGCTGCAGCCCCCGCGCCCGGCCCCAGCACGTCTCCACGCACTTCTTGCCCCGCTTCTGGCAGCCGCAGCCCCCCGAGCTCGCCTTCACCGTCGCCCTCCCCGAGAAGAAGCCCCCGCCGCCCAAGGCCAAGGTGGCTCCGTCCCCGCCTCGCAGGAGCCCCGGCAAGTACCGGCTGAAGTTCCGCTTTGGCTAGCGCGGGATGGGGCAGCTGAGCCCACGGGGACCGCGTCTCCCTCGGCACGTGGACACCGGGAGCTCCCGGGCGGCTGGGCCGGCCTCGAGGTCTGCTCCTCACCAGACAGGTCCCGGAGGGAGCGGCTCGGGCTTGCCCAAGAGAATTGCCGCGGTGAGCTGGGAGCGCTGGACGGACCTCGGGTTAGCGTTCTGTTGCTGGGAGAAGCAGGAAGGTACCTCTCCAGCCAGCTTATTTTCCTACCTTATTTTCACTAGTGACTCCTTTGACAATCATCTTCACGCGAGAGAGATGTTCAGAGCCAAGCGGTTTTGTTTGTTTTTCTTGCATCTCCTTCTTGCTGCACTTTTTCCTCCGACCATACCTCAGGCACCGTGCATCCAGGTCTGTCCCCTTCCCTTCTCCTGGAAGCCAGCTCTTCCCTTCCACAGATTAAACCCGGAGACCGAGCCCTGCAAACTCTGTCGCCTTACCCGTGCTGCGGGGCGGTCCTTAACCCTTTGTTGGCAATAAGAGACGTGCGGGTCTATTTTGTGGGGGTCGCAGGCCGGGGCAGGGTGGCTGTTTGCAGCCCGCTCCCGGCACTCTCTCCCGTTCTTCCCTGGACAGCTGGAGGAGCGAGTCTCCTCCTGTCCATCCGAGTACGGATTCGATGCCTGCTTTAAAATACCTCTGCCCCGGTGCTGGGGCATTCCCGCTCCCTGGAGGAGTCCCCCCGCAGGTATCCCCACAGGACAGAGATGCCTGTGGCCCCCAGGTGCCCACCGGTTTTGTCCAATGGTTTTTGCTGCTGATTTATTTTACCGCTCTCAATACATTTGCAGAGGCAGAGAGCAAGGTTTTTGTTCCTCAGCGAGCGTGGCGATGTGGCAATAAACGCTGTTACAGCTGCTTGTCCCCTGGGGAGCGTTCCTCCCACCTTGGCGGCCCAGATGTGGAATTGTTTCTCGGTCGTGGTGTGATGTGGGGGGTAGCTGTGCACATGGAGCTGGCAGTGGGCGTTGAGCAGTGCTGCTGTACGCACAGGCACTGGTAGCATTGAACCTCACCGGTGAAGCCTTAACAGGAGCTCAGGTTGGCAGAGCCCCTCAGGACCTGGGCCCTGCCAGCGTCCAGCAGCAATAATTAGCCTCCTCTCCGCATCTGATTGTGGTACAAATGGCTTGGGATCATGGGCTTCCTACACTGGGATCGTGGTTCTTTGCCTTTGCCATCCTCTGGCAGCCCCTGGCCGGACACCATGCGAGGATGGATGGGGACGCTGGAATAAAACTGTTGTGTTTCATTTTATAACCTGGCCGTGTCATCTCTTGCCTTCTCTGTGCCTTCTTCCCTTCCCCTGAAGGAAAAAGCGAGCGCTGCATGGCTGCTCCGTGTATTTCTGTCGGGGTGGGGCTGGCCAGGCGGTGTTGGGCTGGAGCAGAGCTGGAGGGATGGGTGAGCTCCCTTTGCTGTGCCCCTCCGGGGCAGCTGGGTCACGGCAGGGGCAGGCGAGCAGGGGTGTCCTGCGCTCCCCATCACTTCCAGCTGGGCTGTCTGACTGTGCCGGGGCAGAATCCAAGTGCTTGGTGCTCAGTGCATCTCCGTGAGCTGATGGAATCCGAGCCTTTGCGGGTGCTGCCCCAGCCCAGGCAGGTAAGGGAGGAGTGAATGTGCTGGTCTTGCTGGCCCTGCATCCCTCAGAGGAAACAAGGTATTGGTTTCATTTTTTTTTTTTTTAACAGAAAAGTCTTGTGGGGGGGAAAAGCCCAAAAGCTGGCGTTTTGCTGTTGTGGTAATAATTGAAACTTAGTCATGCTATGGAAGCAAAGAAGTCTGTGCCAGGGGGAGAGCAGGCTCGGGGAATCCAGCAGACACTCCCTGTTCTTGCTGGACACTCTTCTTTAAGGGAATTCACTGCGCTTGCTCAGCAGCAGGGGACTGAAGGCCTTGAATGTGGTAATATTTCTGTTCAATTTGAACTTGAAACTATTTTTTTTGGGAGTGTTTTTTCTGTTTCTCTCTCACTTTTCACCTACCTCAGAGGGACCGCTGCAGTGCTGGGGAGAACAATCCAGAAACCCAAGAAGGTCAAGAGGATTCCCAAGTTCCTTTCCAGACAATTGCCGCCTTCAGAGGAGGTGCAAATCCATGTGGAGCTGGGAAGGGGGACGTGAGGAGTGCAGTGAGCTGGCACTGTCCCCCGGCTCCCTGGTTTGGAAACAGTCATCGACCTTCTGAGAGGAAAAAAGCATTCCCATCCTTTTTCACCCTGCAGTCACCCCTGCCAGGGGTGTATGTCTTGTTCCAGATGCCCCAGGAGGATTTGTGGGTGTCCTCACACAAACGGAGGCTTTGGCTTGAAAGGAGCATCCTCTAGCAGGAGAGCGAGAGGAAGAGGATTTCCTATGGAGCTGGCGAGTTTGGGCAGGTGAGAAAAGGACAATTAACAAATGTAAGAGCTGAAGGGCGCCTCGGGGGTCTCCGGGAGGGCCGGGGCAGGGCTGTGACCAGGGCAGGGTGTGCGCAGCCCCCAAACCCATCTCCAAGAGGAACCCCGGCGGGAGGAGCGGGGTATCCTCCGCTCCTGGGGCGGCTCCCCAAGGTAAGGGCTTCACCTGCGCCCTCCTTCCCAAGCTGTGGCCCCCAGGTGTGTGCTTGCCAAGGCGTCGGGCTCCGGGGAACGAAGGCCAGGCGTCTGTGTGGCTGTGGGCGCTGTCACAAGGTGCGCGGTGCTCTCCCCGGGATGTCTTGCCTTGTTGCGGTGCGTCCCCGCTCCTCCGTGCGCCGCGTGTGACTCCACTCCCCTTGGAAAAGCCTTGGAGCTCTGTGGCGATGCACTCCCCACAAGTCTCTGCCAAGGGCAGCTCAGGCAGAGCTTATGCAATTTTGGGATTTTAAATTTTTTCTCTTTTTTTTTTTTTGAGCTCTGCCTTCTCACACTTTCCGCAGCTGTGAAAACGGAGTCTGCCTCGGGAATTCTGGGCTTTGCAGCCACGTATTATCGTACCCTGTGCCTGGTTCCCTCTGATTTTTTTGTTCTTGCCCTTTCTCCACTCTGATTCCCTGGCGTGTACGTCTTCAAACACTTACTTGTGTGCCTGCCTGGCCTCTTGAGGAAAATACATTAACTGCTGCCATAAATAGTAGTTTGGGGGGGACCTTGCTACGAGGAGCTAAAAAACATTTTTATAGCACTCGGGTTGTCAGCATAGCTGCTGAACGGTAGAGCCACTGAGTAGCTTCGTTGTCCTGTGTAATTTTCCCCTTTTTCTGCTGCTGTGGGATGATTATGGCATAATTTAATAGCATGTGTCAAACGTCTTTGGTAGCATTTGTGGGCCAGGAACACGTGTGCTGCGTAGTTCAGCTATTGCCATGCCTCCTCTGCTATCCTGTTTCAAGCTCCTTATTCAGGCAAAAACTGATTTTTTAAAAATGCATTTTAAATTTTTCTTTTTTTTTTATTATGCAGGCTTGACTCTTCACAGAATCATAGAATCCCAGAATGGTTTTCCTTGAGAAGGACGTTAAAATTCATCTCATTCCATGCCCCTGCCATGAGCAGGGACAACTTGCACTGGACTGGGTTGCTCCAAGTGCTGTCTAATGTCACCCTGAACGTCCCCAAGGAAAACAATGGGAGTGTTTCAGTCCACAGCTGGGACACAGGACCACGGGTTGCTCACCCAGGAGAGGGCTGCTGGGGTCCAAACAGAGAGGAGCCAGCTGGTAAGTGACATCCTGTGTCCTCTTTGGTGGACAAACTTGTGTTTGATGGTTTTGGGAGCACCTGAGAGTGAACAGCCTCGGTTACAAGGAGGCTCCCACAGCCAGACCTCGTTCTCCTGAGGAATTGTGTTCACCTTTGGCCTTTGAACGAGGAGGGGTGCGAGGCTGACTGGCCAGGGCGGTGTCTGAGAAGGGCAGGGTGTTCTGGGTTCCAGCAGCACTCGCAGGGCTCCAGCTTTGGGGTGTAATGCAGAACCCAGCAATATTCCTGCTGGGCAAACGTGGAGGGAGAGGAACGGCAAGCGGCAAAGCTGGGCTGTGCTCCTGAAATCCCAGATGGAACCGACCCAAACTGCACCTGGGCTTGAGTTCCTTCAGCCAGGGGAGGGAAGGAACGCTGGTGCCAGCCATCCTGGGGGCACTGGGCAGGTCTTACTATTTCTCTGCCATCACTGGTGTTGTGTGACCCTCCCTTGGTCAGAGAGGGCAGAAAATGGGGCAGGAGGGGGGAGCTCATCTTGTTTCTGCCAACTCCAGGCTTGGGGCAGCTGCAGAGCACTTCGGGTTCAAATAATCCTGCCCAAATACAGTCAGCTTGGACCTCTCCTGGGCGCTTTTGGATCCCTCTGTGCCACCCTTCCTCTGATCCTTTAGCTGCGAGGTGTGGGCTCAGAAACACCTGCCCCTCCTGGATGCGCTTTGGCACATTTAAATTCAGATTCCTAGGAAAGCAATCAGCTCTAATGAAAAAGTGTTCTGCTTAGAAAGCACACAGGAAGCAGGTGTTGTGGCACACTTGCTAACAGTACGTCTTGCACTTTGTTTCTTCTTTTTTTTTTTTTTTAACCCTGTTTTTAGGAGGACCCCTAAACTGGAAAATTAAAAGTGAGGGAGAAAATGGTGCTTTTCATTTCATTTTAAGTTGTGCACTGGGTGTTATGTCAAGTGATTCCACCAAAATATAATCTGAATTATTGACCTTCAGGCCTCTGCAAGGCTGAAGGAAGGAGGGAGCCTCCCACAGCTCCAGCTGAGGATGATACTGGCTGCTTGAAACCCTTGGTCCAGAACTGGGAGAGCTGCAAGAACAGCTTTTCTCCTTTCTGTCCATCACTGGGCAGAATATTAAGGTGATGCTGCACTAATTGCTTTATTTTGGTTTTTTCCCCTGGCTTTTTAATGTGTTTCCAAGCTGTGCACTGAGGGGCAGGTTGCTGGATGGCACAGTTTATCCTGGCACAGAAATGGGCATTGTGTGTGTGTGTGTGCTTCCAGGCTAATCCAGGAGTGACGTGGAAATCCTGAGAGCATTCCCAGCCTTGGCTGCCCAGGCTTCTGAACAAGCCTGGCAGGTAGGCAGGTGTTTGTTTCATGGCTAAGAGGTATCACAGGTGTCATTGTATCACAGATATCTGCCCATAGGTTTTGGTATCAAATTGTGAGGGTTTATACCTGGGGACCCCTCGGGTCACTGGGCCTGAAAATCATCCCTCAAGCAGAGAAACCAAGCAATTTTTCATAATTCCAGGTGCTATAATTAGTAATTATATTACTAATAAAATGAAAAGTATCTTTTAAAGAGGCTTAGGTGTTTGGTTACCTTTGTGCTGTAGACAGGGGATTTGTTAGGCTGGCGGGAATGTTTTCTCACCTGGAGGTGTGTTACAATAATCAACACAAGACTTAATTTTCATTAATTTCATAAATTTAATTAATTAACTTAATTTTCATTGATTTAACCTAATTTTCATCACTTTTTACCTGTTTTTTTTTTCTTCATAGTTTGGGGAAAATATTTGGCTTAAATGAATCAAATGTGTTTAAGTGCTTGCTTTCTACAGGGGTGCTCTGTCATCCTCTTATGGATCCTCAGGCAAATGAAACTGGAATCTGGGAAATGGGTTTGCCTGTGGATTCCTGCAGTTTGTGGTCTGCTGGGTGAGGGTTCTTTGGGCAAAACAGCTATGGAGAAAGTGTGAACTCCAGCTAAGATCAGCTAAATACGAAGGAAAGAAAAATGGTTTCAAAAGAATTGGGGTGTTTTTTTTTCTTTTTGGCTGGCTGTGCCTGAGGCAGGGATGCTCCAATGACCGTGCCTGCTTCCAGCTCTCTCCACCAAAGGAACACACACACTCAAAGCACCGGATTTGGGGCGTTGTGCATGCAGGGAAAGCCCAAGCAGCTCAGGGCTGCAGTTTTGTGCAGAGCAGCTGTTGTGAGCTACAGGCAGATGACCACTAGGCATACCCAGAGGTTCCTATTCATAGCTCCACCCCTTCCCAAATTGGGGTTTTTCTGCCCCAAAGCAGGCTGCCAGCCTGCTAGAGGGTTTTTTTCCCCCTGTCCAAATTGCCATCCCACTGTGGAAAGTAGTTACAAAAGATGCTTCTGAGAAACCGATGCTCAAGTGTCTTTCATCATTGCTGCCTGAGTACCAGGGCTGGGAACAAATGCATTTGCTTGGACTTGACAGCTGGGGTTTGTGTTCTTTTCCTCTGCTAGTTTGTTCCTGCAGCCTCTTCCTTTTTCACCTGCTGTTCCCTGCAGTTTTGCTTTTTTTGCCTCCCAG